GTCCCCGGGAAAACCCGGGGGTCCCCCCCCCCCTTTTTTGGGGGGGGGGGGGAAATGTTTTAAAGGTTTCCCCCCCCCCCGTTTTGGGTCCCCCCCCCCCCCCCCCCCCCCCCCCTTTACCTTCCTACCTCCCCTTCACCCTCATTTCTCGCCTGACATCAACAGCAACCAACCGCCTTCCTCACCTGCCCTTCCCGAAGATAGTCTAGCGTGATGTCCCCCACCGTCAGGTACAGCAACTCCCTCGGATAAGAGTCAATCACCGAGACGCCCACCCCCGCCAAACGCACGCTGGCTTCCAGCGATACACCCCCCCCGCCGCCGCCGCTGGAAGATGATGCTGCCGTTGCTGCTGCTGTTGCTGCTGCTACTGGCTGCGGTGGAGGCTCGGTCAGGCGCTGCGGTCGTTCAGACAAACAGCAGTGCCAGTGCAAGGTGGAGGGAGATGGGGGTACGCGGACGGGGGCAGGGGGGTGGGGAGAAGGTGGCACAGCGGCTTCGCGACGGCACAGTACCGTCAACGCGGCACGGCAGAAGGCCACAGATACATTTGTCCGAGGAAAACTCCTGTTCCTTTGATTCTCTGAAGTGAAGTAAGAAAACACCGCAAAGAAAAACCTACATAGAACTTCGATTGTTTTTCTGGAAAACGGAAAAAACAATACAAAAGGAGAGCCCTGCAATTTCGAACTGATATCCTGAAAGAGCGACAAAACACACACACACTTTCTGTCTTTGATCCGGAGGATAGTTTAGCCTCCCCCATGCTGCCCCCTCACGGGCTTCCAGTCCATGGCAGATAGAAGTGTTTTGTGTTTTCAACCGCACTAAGACTGACGTATTTTCATTGGTCAGCCGGTTAGCGCGGTCGATGCTAATAATAATAAAAAAAAAACACACACACACACCTTCTCAGCTGTCCTGACCTCGCCCAGCCAGGGAAGGGGACAAGGCCCTCATGCAACACCCCCGCCACAACTCTTAAAAACACACAACCGCGACACTGCACAGTACATGCACCGAGCGGGCGAAAAATTGTCGACGTTTGTTGTCGTCGTCGTCGTTGTTTTTCTTCCTTCACGTTCGCGTTGCTGCGGGACCAAGAACACAGAAAGTACCTTCCTTCCCGGGTGGTGGTGATGGGGGAAATCATCGTCGATATATATTGCTGTACACTAGTTGTTGGTTGTTGCGGTGGCCCACACTGGTCCTTGGTTGGCACCCCTGTTGCCGTTCTCACCTTCCGCTGGCGAATCGTAGACAAGGACGATGCGAAGCGGGCGTCCGTGAACCGCAGCACGCGGGTAGGTCCTTCCGCGGTCATCTCTACGGTACGGTACAGTACGGTACGGAGCCACCACCGACCGCCCGGACACACCGCCAGAGAGAGAGAGAGAGTAGAACGACGGGAAACGGTGACGGAGCGACGGCAAGTGGTGACAATGACAACAATCGCGGTAAAAGGCGACGGGAGACAAAGAGAGGAGAGAGACAAAGGGAGAGAGAGAGTGGAAGACAGAGAAAGGAGAGGCAGGAGAGACAGAATGAACTCGCGACAAGGGAGGTAAAGAAAAGAGGCACATCCTCCCCATAGAAGGGCCGAGTTCAGGGGGTGACGCTACGCTTCGATAGCGTACTTGGGGGGACCACCCTCAAGCGTGCACTTTAGTTCAGAGCACGGCGGTTGGTTGTAGCCTTGAGAGAAGCCCTCCTCTCCTCGCCACCACGGAATATCGGCCGCGAAACGCGACACCGATACCTCTTTAAGTGCCTCGCTGTTCCACCGCAACTCTTTAACAACCCCGCTCCTCCTTCGACCCTCGCCCTGCCTACCTACTCTCATGTTGCCCGCGACGGTGGGCGGCCGCACGAGGTCCAAGCCGTACACCCCGACGAAGGCGCGGGGGGCAGCATCCCCGCTGCCACCGCCGCCGACCCCCCCGCCGGCCGCAACGGCAGCGGCGGCCGCGGCGGGCGCGAGGTACCCCTCCACCAGCAACCTCTCCACGATCAGCGACCGCTCTCCCAGCGGCTCGTCCCAGCTGTAGGTGCAAGTCTGGCGGGGCAGGAGAGCTTCCACCGCCGTTCCACCGACCTGCGCGCGAAAGCAAAAAAAACACAAACAAAAAAGCAACAGCAGAGGACGGCGGCAGCCGGCGGGGGGATAGTTAGGCTGTTGGGCGAGAAGCGGTGATGAGGTGAGGAGGCGCGGGTAAGGGGGGCGGGTGGGTTAGTTGGGCTGTTTGGGCGAGAAGGGGCGAGGGGGCGGGGGGGGGTCCACGCAAGATGAACGGAAGGGTGTGGTCCACCGTGCCTTGCCATAGACCACTGTCTTTTGACAGAGAGCGGTGTGGGAATTATTTTTGCTGAAAAGCCTATGACCCTATTGGTTGGGTGGGGGACACGGACGGTAGGGTTAGTTTTCGTTGGGAAGGAAGGCATGTAGCTATAGCTAGCGGAAGGAAGGCCGATGTTTCTTTGTAAACTGTCAACATGGAAGGCGTCCAAACATCAGCACTTACGGCCAAAACTTATCAGACCAAAAAAAAACAGAAAGATGTTACGCGGGAAATACGGTGAATGACAACAAGAGGATCACAACTCGAACCAACTCCCCCATGTCTTCAATAGCGTCGAAACACTCTTGTCCTACCGTAGTAGTGCTCCGACCACTGCCTGTCTCTCTCCCTTACCTGCCGCAGTGTCAGGGTCTCGTGCGTGAAGTTGTCTATTCGATAAGGAGAGAACGACGGCAGCTCGTTCCGGAACACCTGCGTAGGGGAGAGGGGCGTGAGACAATGCGCAACAAAGGCCGGTGGTGGGGGGGTCGGGAAGGGGTGCATCGCAAGGAAGACAGACAAACACGGAAAATTCGGATGGCGCGCAGAACAGCGCGAGGACGGCTGAGCTACAAGTGTGTGTGTCCGCCACGTACAGTGCCTGAGATTCTACCGAGACCCATCGCGAAAACAAACACAAGATGGCGATAAAAAACAAATCTGTCTTTCGTTTCGACGGCCACACCATTAAGAGCGGCCTCGAAGTTTGTCAAGCTTTCTCGAGATGAGCCGACGCAATGCTCGTGCAGCCCTGTTTCCACCACCACCACCGCTGCTACCACCGCCACCACTACCATCACTACCACTACCACCACTACCTCCACCACTACCGCCACTACCACTACCACCACTCTACCACCACTACCACCACCACCGCCACCACCACCACTACCTCTACCACCACTTCCACCACCACCGCCACCACCACTTCTACCACCACCACCACCACCACCACCACCACCACCACCACCACCACCATCATCACCCACCAGGTGCACAGAGGACCGCTTGAGCGACGTCCCGACGCGGACGAACGCCACCTCTCTGGTGACCCTGTTCCTCACGCGCAGGGTGGTGACCCCTCTCCCCACACACCCCGCCACCCCCGCCCCCTCGGGCAGGATCTCGCCGGACCAGTCCCAGCCCCCCTCTCCGTCCCCGCTGCCCCCGCCGCAGAACCGAAGCACCATCCTACGGTTCTTTGCTCCGACGGCGGCGGTGCCCCCGAACCAGCCGCTGCCGGCGCCTGCTTGAGGCCAATGGAACGCCGCCTGACCACCGCTGCCGACCTGTTGTTTTATTCAGTGTCGGTAGTATTTTCCAAAAATGTTTATGTTGTTTTTCGCCGGGAAAAGGAAGAGGGTTGTGGAGGGGGGGGGGGGGCGGGGGCGAGGGCCGTCAGAGCGGGAACCGTTGGCTTGTTTTGATCGATGAGAACGGGTGGGGCTATATAACATGGTCACCATTTCCTCGTTCATAACTATCGGTTAAGATAGTATCTACCACATGTCCGAGAGAGGATTATAGACCATATCATCAATTTTTCCCGAGCGAAGAGCACCACCCGCAAGAAAGGAAGGCAGGAAAGACGGTCGATTTAAGGGGTCATCGTCATCGTCACGAAATCCCGGTACAATTGTAGTGAAAACCGACTCTACGAGCTTCGCACGATAGGGAGAAGAGAGGAGAGAAGAGACAAGGCGACGACGACGTGCATGGGCAAAAACAGTCGCGTGCCCAACGGACAAGGACAGATAAATAAGGTAAGACACGAGTAGCTTGGTGTGGCTCGGAAGCAGCGTCGAGACAAGTAGATACCATCGCTTTTGCTTGAGACGGCCAGCGCAAGGGTTCCTGATTGACTTCCGTGCTACGCACACTCAACAAACCTCAACGCAAGACTGCCTGCCGCACTCGCAAAAACAATTGGCATGAGTGTGTGTACCGCTGGCGGCGGCGTCGGCGGCGGCGTCGGCGGGTCAAGAGGGGGACCAAGAGGGCACGAAAAGGTCTTACCGTCAGGGGCTCCACGCCCGCGGGCGACCCTGCCTGTTGGACCTGTATCGACCGTCCCGTCGCGTTGACGATGACGTAGCGCGGAGCCAGCGCTACCACCTACAAATACAAAAGAGGCATTATGCATATCGGCATCGTTTTTCTCTGGTTGGTTGCGGGTATTGGGCAGCGTGGCGGCGGGACTCTAGGAGACAAGGGCGGGCAGTGTGGCAGGACGATACGGATTTTGAGCATATGGAAACCGTCACAGGCGAGATCACGCTGTCGAGAAGGGGGGGGTGAGGGGGTACACGGACGGCAAGAGGTGAGAGCGGGGCTGGTCGTCGAGAGGTGGTGGGCACAACAATAGGACGAAATGTGACAACAAACCTTGGAGCGATGAGAACCCAACAGCGCCGCCGCTCACGCAACGACGTGTTTCCTTCGAAACGGGAGGAAAACCAAGCCGCCGGTAGATTGCTTGCTAATGATATACTTCAAGTATGCAACAACTTGGAGAAACAAAGCGAGAGAGGATTAAAGAGGGCAGGCAAACATAACTGTCGCGGTGCAATTCAACCGCAAAAAAAGAAAGAGAAAAACGGAATGCAATACTAAAACAACCCTTGAGAAACGTAAATGGGGTGCGGGGGGGGGGGGCGTCTTACCTTCGTGCGATCAAACGGCGCAGGGGCCGCCTTGATGCTGACCCCTACCGCGAACGCCTGCCTCGCCGCATCCTCTCGCCGCCGCCGACGTCGGGCCGCACCCCAACTCAACCCTTGTTCTTGCGCTTGGTCGAGCTTCGGCGCGTGGTGCTGGTGCTGGTGCTGGTGCTGGTGCTTCTGCTTCGAGACAAGCCCTGCCGGCGCAGCTGCTTCCACCGCCGCTGTCGCCGTCGCCGACGACTCCCTTGGCCTCCCGCTGACCTCTAGCACGTCATTGCTGCCACCCTGTTCGACGAAGGTGCGCGATGTCGGGCAAACCAAGATGGTCAAAAGGAGACAGGGAGGCGGGGGGGGGGGGAGAGTTTCTTTTGGGAGGGCGGGAGGCACAGGGTTTCACGGTCAACACAGCTTGCCCTGCACGCGGCTTCTAGACTATGAATAGTCTGTTCGATGAACGGTGCGGTACAGCAGTTTTATGCCGGCGTAGCCCATCGGCGTGCGGCGCTTCCGCATTCGTGTGACCCCCGAGGAGCACATTTTTTTTAATATTTTTCTCATCAAATAAGAACAACCGCTCACAGCATTCCTGCCAGATAGGAGCCAACATATGTCCAACCCGTGGTCAAACAGCGGGGTTCCGCCCTCTCCCTGAGGGCCCCTACCCAACCCTCCCGCTATACAAGCCGTTGGTTAATCCATGGCCTATTTTGCGTCCTTGCGCGGGGAAGCGCGCTCGCTTGACAGCACGCCTCCGGCCGACGCCGCCCTTGACTTTGGGTGTTGAGCCATGCAAGACAGAACGGTACTATTATTACGACCGCCTCCTCCCGTTGTCCTCTGTGGGGGGAACGAGAACGAAAACAAACAAAACCAACTACCTTAGCTGACTCATGGTCTGCGCGAATTTCGCTGCTCACCCCAATGTTTTCAACAACAACAGCAGCTGCAGCAACAACACGCAGCAGTTATTTGAAGGCGGTCGGGGAGCGGTTCGCTACTTCATCGCCCTACGGCTCGATCGATCGCAGAAAAAGGTCACACACATGCGTGAACCCGTTTGTCGATTTCACGACAATATCTAAGACAAAAGGGGAACGCGAGATTGAAATGCATGACAAAGACAAGTGCGTGGGGAGAGAAATAAAAAGGTCTAGCTAGCACACCTGATCCAGGGCGAAGGGACTGGACCATGGAGACCCTTCCAAGCGAACTCGCACGCGCCTGTGCTGCTGCTCCTCTGGGATAGTGTACGACAACATGAGAGGTCGCCTGTTTTTTTGTTTTTTTTTTCGTTTCGCCCGCAGCGGGCAATACAAGGAAACGATACGGTAGCGATGGAAGGGGGAGGGGGGGGGGGGGACACGATTCAATAGTCAACGCCAGTTAAAGACAGGCAAACGGTTTCTTTCGGAAATCGCATGTTGCCTGCTGGCGCATGCGAGGATGTTTGAGGCTCTCGGATCGCCACGGACCAATGCGGCAACAAAGAAAACAACAACAACTGCCTCTTAGTGTCCGCCAGATCCCCACATCAACACTCACAACAGAGGGCCTTCGTCGACGCCTTGTCCTTGCGGGGACAGCCGTGCCCCCGGCGCCTCCGCATCATCACCCCGCCCCTCCTCCCCCCCCGAACCAGCAGAGTGCCCGCCACCCTCTTCTCCATCTTCATCCTGCACCAGAAACTTGAGCCCCAGCCCTTCTGGCCGCACCTGCCGCTTCTTCGCCGGCGCCGACGCTCCCGCCACGCCCGTCGCCGGCTCCGTCGTTACGGCAGCGGCTGTCCGTGCACGAGTGGTGTATTTGATGGGTTCGAAAGACGACACGGGCGAGGATGCAGACGGTCTTGTTGCCGTCGTCGTCGTCACCATCGGAGAAGCTATCCCGACAGTCCCGCCCGCCGCCGCCGCCTCCTCGACAGCGGTGGCAACGGCAGCGACGGCGTTCTCTCCGCTGGAGGCACTGTCCCCCCCCCCCAGTGCCGCCGTCGCTGCCGCCGCAGGGGTAAGCCGGAGGTGTTCCGTCCTCTCCTCGCCCGCGACGGCGGCGGCGGCGGAGGCGCCGCCCCCCCCGCCAAGGCCGGCCGCCGCCGCGCCGTCGCCTTCCCAGAAAAGGGGGTTTCCCCCCCCCGAAGTGTCGTAGGCGTTGCCGCC